TTAAATTTTCTTAATGTTTTTCACATTTCATAAAATTTAAGTCGATGTGGACTGATATAAACAGCATGATATATTTAACAATGTTTTCTACATGTGCATATTTATTTAAAATATTCCATGTTATGTGTTCTACTGGTGCAAAAAAGTCAAACAATGACCGGGTAGGATAGCATAACCATCTTTTGCCACAATATTCTTTTTTTATTATAAAATTGTGGAAATCTGCATTATTTGATGATGTTAAATTATTTGGACATGTTTTACATTTTTTTAAATATAAACTTTTTTATAAAGTGTGTAGGGCGTCCCCCCACGAGATGGAGTGACGACCTGGTAAGACATGCAGGAAGTCGATGGATGCAGGTGGCTCAGGACCGTGCTTTGTGGCATTCTTTGGGGGAGGCCTATGTTCAGCAGTGGACTTGTGAAGGGCTGTAATGATGATGATGATGAAACTTTTTTGTTTTCTATACATCTATCTACCCACTACAATAAGCTATGGCCGCGCATTTCTCTACATGAACTTTGGTACGGCTTTCTAGAATTTGTTGTGTATTTATTAAATCAATATTTAAATGTTCATTGATAATTTCTGCCCTTAACTTATTTGTTATTAATTTAAAACCTTCTATAGTGTTTACCCAACTGGTTAGAGATGGTACAGTTACCTCTTTACTATTATTATTTATATACTTCATTGACCTTAAAATGGGTAATGTTTTGTTCCATAATTTTAAATGGGATGAGTTTGGTGTGACAGCAGATCTGTATATTTTACCTTCTTCTTTATGTTAATTTGAGTCGAACAGGTTGTTGAACAGCATTATCAAATGTGCAGTGTCCACACTTTCCTCTGGCAAGCACCCACTTTCTAGAAATTATAATTTTATGTTAAATATATATAAGTATTAAATAATTGTATTTGCTTTTTTTATTGGGGCATCCTGAACTACTGGAGAATGTTGAGAGACATTTCACACCAAGTGTACATTATGTGTCTCATAAAACATGCATCATACAAATCATTTTTCGCCTACTGATATTGATTATAGTAATTCATTACTGTCCCAATCTGTATATTTTACCTTCTTCTTTATGTTAATTTGAGTCGAACAGGTTGTTGAACAGCATTATCAAATGTGCAGTGTCCACACTTTCCTCTGGCAAGCACCCACTTTCTAGAAATTATAATTTTATGTTAAATATATATAAGTATTAAATAATTGTATTTGCTTTTTTTATTGGGGCATCCTGAACTACTGGAGAATGTTGAGAGACATTTCACACCAAGTGTACATTATGTGTCTCATAAAACATGCATCATACAAATCATTTTTCGCCTACTGATATTGATTATAGTAATTCATTACTGTCCCACTGCTAGGCACAGGCCTCTCAGAAGTAGAAGGATTAAGCCTTAGTCCACATGCTGCCCTGATGTGGTTTAGCGGACTACACTCACATTGAGAACTTTATGAGGCCCTCTCAGGTGTGGAGGTTTTCTCCCAATGTTTTCCAGCACTGTTAACGCAAGAATAGAACAGAATAGAATAATTTTTTATTCAATATACATTACATGTGTAATTCTTATTGAAAGTCATTTTTTACTTTACCACTGGTTCGAAAAAAAACCCTCTGTCCTGGGAAGAACCAGCAAGAAACCCAGCGGGACTTTTTTTTTAAAATAAATTTTACAATATAAATGATTACGAACTATTTACAAAATTTATTTTAGAAACTGCTTGGAAGCGACCACCTCATTCCCAGGGGTTATTATCAACCATGTATTCATTTATACTATAATAACCCTTTTTATACAGTTTCAGTTTAATAAAACATTTAAACTTGGTAACAGAGAGAACCTGTACACTTTCCGGGACCTTGTTGTAATAGCGTATACATTGCCCCAAGAATGAATTACTGACTCTGTGGAGTCGAGAAATTGGCATCACTAGCTTGGTGTTTGTTCCTAGTGTTTACAGAATGTATATCACTTTTTTTACTAAAACTATCTTTGTTTTTGTGAACATACATTAAATTTTCGTAAAGATACTGAGAGGCCAAAGTTAATATATTTATTTCTTTAAATTTATCTCTAAGAGACTCTCTCGGTTTGAGATTGTAAATAGCTCTAATGACCCTCTTCTCTCTTTAGACAAGTAATCAATAATCAAATTCTGTTCCTCACATAACCTACATGAAATGCAAGTGTTTGACCGCTGGGCTATAATGCCATTTTGTTTTTATAAAGAAAATGTAAGTACTAAATTTTATTGAAACTCAATTCAAATTAATGTTTAATGATTATGACCTACATTACTCCCGGGTTGCCTAACAAAAATTTGTCCCACATACCTTTAATTAAATATATTGTAATTAAAACAAATTGCAAAAACATATTATATTGTTTTTGGTTAATTCACTTAATTCATTAGTTTCACACAGGTTATAAATGAATGTACAATAAATATATGTTTTATTGTACATTCATTTATAACCTGTGTGAAACTAACACAGTTGATAGTATTAAATACACTTAATCAAAAAATTGATTTACCTGATACACCTGCAGAGGGTAAAAGCAAAGATGGAACAGCCAATTTACAAAGCCTGTTTTTTGGGTAAAGAAACTCTTTCTGAAAGTGCTGACGACAGATTCTATGAGTTTTACAGGTGTTGTCCAGACTCACAATACCACCTCCAATAATCTTTATCCAATTATGAAACCTTTCTGCATCTTTCTCAGGACATGGAAAGTAATGATGAGGTACACCTGAAAATAAAATAAAGTGACTATAATGGGCCTGAATGAAATGTGATTTTTAATCATTCTAAGTTACTCTACATTATTTTACAATACATAATAATGTAATTTAATAATAGTAAAATAAATTAAGTTATTGATAAATAATTAATCATAATTATTTTTCTAGATCACTTAGTTCAGAGTTCTAAAGACTAGCAATGTTATAAAAGACAATTTCAAAAACTCAAAAGCCCGGCTAAAGGGGTGTAGGTAGATGCAGATGTATAGACCCACATTTTATGTGAGAGAGTTTATTATAATTACATATATATCATCTGATATCAAGGATGACGTTTTGTACCATAGGGACAGTCAACTAAATTATTAATTTTCATCATTTTCTCTGTCGGTCTAGGTTATTTATTACAGATAAAGAATCTTGATAATATAATTATGTCTTTTCACTTTACCTTACATTTCAAAAATCTAAGAATTTACAAATGAAATATATATAAACCCTCTTGTGAACTCTATGTAATAGTTAGGTCAGTGGCTTGTCTTAGATTTATTAGTAAGTTTAGAGATTTTTTCAATCTAAGTCAAATCTTATTTATTCATTTAGACCATATCAGCCTATTGATTTGACTTTTGAAAGTCGAGACTTTAGGTGCATGTTCGAAAATGTAGATTCTGATAGAGAAAAACATGCAAGAAACTCAACTTTTAAATGCAAATTGACAAAAAAGACATGTCAAGATTGTTTATCATGTTTTAGTCCTTGCTCTAAGGTTTACTATGAGTTAACTGAGCCGACAGACTACGGCCCGTATTCTAGAACGATACTCAGCGACGATCTCAACTTGAGCACATCTTAGTGACGTATTTGTATGAAATGATAGACTCAAATCATTCTCAAGTAAAGCTGTGTTTGAGCATCATTCTACAATAAGAACCTACATGTAGCATTTATTATTTTTAAATGAAAAACCTTATAGGAACTAATGGTATTTTAAAAATTTTGACTTACTGTTGAAATGTCGTTTTTCACTGCTTTTTAATTGTTAAAAACAGATAAACCAGTTTATGGTGTATTAGGCACGTGGAATATAAGCCAGCGTAGAATACACATTTGTTTAAAAGACTATTGAGGTTATGAAACTTCAGAATATAAAAACACACTTTACTCACCATCTTCTGCTACTACTTGGCACCCAGGAACACAGAAGATATTTCGAGGCATTGTGTAAAATGTAAAATAACACTACACTGAGATATATGGTCCAAACTCCCTACGGAAAGCCTATCAACATGTATGTCCAAAACACTTTCACAAAGTACAGTCTATGCTGGAATTTCGGTATTTCTGGAATAAACGAAGAAACTGAAGCTCGACTCAACGTAGTAACACAAAAAACACCAAAAATTACAAGAAAAATGCGCACGAGTATGCAAACACACCGGTGAGAAATTTCTTCTTTTTTTTTATAGGAGTTTATGGCCTGGTATCTAGACCTTTAGGCCAAGTCTTGAGTATTTTTATTCGGTTTATTATAAATAATTATCCTTCATAGTTCACTGCTTCACAATATGTTGATGCGTCACATTGTGCAGCCCTTGAGAGATTTTGACGGCAACTTGAGCCAGCAGACAGCTGATAGTTGGCGATGGTATCTCAAGGCGCCTATGCAAACAAACAGCTTATCTTGAGAATCCATCACCATCAGAGCACTTGTTTCACTGTTTCCACTAATAGTTCACATGCGTAGACAATTAATACACAAAATCGCACCACTTTTACATATCAAAGTCCACTTCAAACCATTATTTAAACAATAATACAGGAGGAGCAAACCGCCGCTGATCAAGTTCCCGCCAAAACCAAAAATTTCTTCTAGTTAGACTCAGTGTCGTTAAAATTTGATATCAATAAACTACTCTAAAGATTCTAAGATCGTAACTGTAATAAATACTATATAAATTATAATATCACTAGTAGCATAAAATATTTTTAAAATAAATTATACTGTTGTTAAATCATTTATTTTTGTGTACCTGGACCAATAAAAGAAAAATAGCAAAATCATCAGTTATTTTAAAGTACCAAGTGTTCCAAGTAAAAAAAGAGTGGTAACACTGCAATAAAAAGTTCCATGTATGCGGGATAGATAGCGCTTTTCATAATAAATAAAAAATGTTTTAAGTTACCAGGGCATGCTAGTATTAGTGTTCTGTGCTCGCTAGGCGCTAGTGAGTTGACATATGCCGTGTTGATTATATAAAAAAATTCTTGATAAAATACGCCATGGTATGTTTTAGAAATTGCACAAATAATTCAAGAAATGTTAGCAAATACCAAGGAATAACTTTTCATCGGTGAGTAAAATATTAATAAAAAAGTATTATAGATTAATAATTAATCAAACAAATTATTCAAAAGATGCCATCTCGGGTCATGAAATATAGGTACTTAAGTCTGAGAATAATTATGCATAATATAATATGTTGGTTTTTTGTAGAAAGAAATGGAAGTATTCATAATTAGGCTAAATTTCTGATATTTAAATTTGCTGATTATTCTTTTATTTTATTTTTAGGTTTCCACGCCCAAGCCATGAAAACAGGGAAAAATGGACTAAATTCATCAATTTTTTAACTCTCGCGTGCCCAGCATTTATGAACGACTCTTATTCTAATCTAAATAAATATATTTGTAAATTATATGTTATATCAATAAGTTTTGTTACAAATACATTAAGTCTGTTTTTTTTAAATATTTTACATAGTTACCTTTTAAAATATTTAAATAAAAATATCATTTAAATGTAATTCAGAAATCAGCAGTACAATGCGAAAACGTAATTATATTATTATATAACATTGCTTGGATTTTAGATTTATTTTGTGATTAGACGACGAATGAATTTTTTTAATGTTCAGTATATTTACGGGACTTCAGAGACGTGGAACCCTCGGCGCGCGAGTCACACTAGTATATGACGGTTTTTTAATACTGTAACGCTAGAAGTCTTACAGGCTTCCCAAATAATTAGTATCTTTTTTTTTCAGCCAACAAATGTGGTGAACAGGAAGTATCAGAACTGTTGTCTGAATCAATAAGCAGTTCAAATTCAATTTTTGATAGTCCGAGCAAAATTGTACTTACAAATAAATTACGCAAGTGATGTCTCCTAAGCCTAATTTGAGTGATGTATACGAAGCCTAAGTTTTTAAATATAGTTCTACCTTAGTAACGGAATCAATAATTCTAGGTCATTATAAAAATAATAAAATATGAGCACGTTGTAATATTGTGTATGTATTTAATAGCAAGGAATCTGCAGCTAGAAAGAAACTTACTGAGAAATTTAAGAAAATACAAAGCCAAAATATTTACCTAAAGAAAAAATGCGCTTCTTACAAATCAATTGGACAAAATTTTAAACATAAATTCGGTCTAAACTATATGCTGAGATTGATTTAATGGCTAAAGCAGAAGTTGTGGAGTTAGATGAATCTTATATGAATGAAAAAGAATAAACAGAGCACGCATTATTTATTAATACACTGCATGCACCTTAACGTAAATTCGCATTGATTTTACACTATTATTCACCAGTTGCGTATACGTTAGAGAATTCTAGAAAAGTAATAATAATGATCTTTGAGAATAAATTCATATTTTTATATTTTACATATTTACCTTTTAATGTATTAAATAAAATATCATTAAAATGTAATTCTGTCATAATATTATGTTATACGAGGGCGGCACTGAAAATTTCGGGAATCAAGGAAGTGACACAACATTACTATTTAAAAATGTATTTATTGCTTTTCGAAGTATTCTCCGCGAAATTTGACACATTTTCCATACGATGGAACCAATCATTGAAGCAACCATTCCATTCGGAAGTTGGGGTCTCCAAAATGGACGTTTTGTAGGCGTCCACAGCTTCTTCGGGTGATGAAAATCTCTGTCCACGGAATTTATTCTTTATTTTAGGGAAAGTATAGAAATCATTAGGGCTTAGGTCGGGGCTGTACGGCGGATGGTCTAATAATTCTCTGTTTTCTTGCTCTAAAAACTTTTGTTCTGTGTGCGGAGTGAGAACTCGCATTGTCGTGATGGAGGATGATGCGGTGGTTGCAGTTCTCTTTACGGAGTTCAGAAACGGCCTGTGGCAAACAAATGCTAGCATACCATTCTGCATTAACCGTTCTTTGTACCTCAAGAGGAATAGTCGTAATATGGCCGGTTTTGGAGACAAACGTGGCCACCATTTCTTTTGCAACACTCCGTGAACGAACAATTTTTGTTGGCTTTAACTCATTTTCGAACACCCAAACTCGTGACTGGTTTTTTGTTTCGGGTTCGTACGCGTATATCCAGGATTCGTCACCTGATACGATGTTGTATACAGCATTTGAGGATCTTGCGTGGAATATTTCGAGAGTTCTGACGCACCAAGTAACGCGAGCCGCTTTTTGCTCTTCACAGAGCGAATGCGGTATCCATCGGGAAAACAACTTTTTTACACCTAATTGTTCATGCAAGATTATTTGTATTTATTTCATGCCAATGTCTAAAGTTGCCTGAATTTCGCGGTATGTCACATGTCGATCGTCCTCAATCAACTTACGCACAGCATCAACGTTTTCTTGGGTGACTGCAGTTTTTGGACGACCTTGACGGGGATCATCACTGAGCTTGACACGTCCACGTTGAAATTCAGCAAACCAGCGATAAATTGTGGTTTTGGATGGGGCTTCATCACCAAATGCAGAAATCATCCGGTCAACACACTGTTTTTTTGTTAAACCACTTCGGAAGTCATAACAAATCATCGCTCTTGAATTTTCTCGAGTCAATTCCATTTTCTCAACGACTAAACAAGTTTGACAAAACCTTGTGATAAGACCGAGAATCTTTTTTTAAATAAATAAATGGTATTCGATTTATAAAACCAAGGACTTCAATTAAAAAAAAAAATTAATATGACAGGAACAGTGGAAATATTCCATTCCCGATACTTTTAGTGCAGCCCTCGTATTATATTAAATTAACACATAAATGCAAAATAAATAACAAAAGAATTGTACTCGATATAATTTACAATACAATCTAAATAAACAATTACTTGTTACATACTGATCATTCTACCTACGTATAATCTATGATAAGAAAAACCGCGTATGCGCGACTTTACTATTTACCGCGCATGCGCGAATACATAGAGTAGCGCACATTTTTTGTTTGAAATAGCTTCTCTAGTACGTAGTACATTATAACTCAATGGGTTAGGGAGAGATTTCTCTCTTCCCTCGAGAAACCGGGAGGCGATGCGGGCGGTATCAAGGGGCACCGGCTTCTGCATTTGAGCTCGAAACGGTCCTTCACGGGGTCCCAGTCGCCTCAGATGACCCGAGCGCTGACCGGCATTAGTCCGTTCGCAGAAACAACTACAAGAATAATTTCGGTCGGCAGACCACCCAATATGTCAGTCGGTCACCTCGTGAGCAGGTACAGATATTTTGTTTGCTTATCTGTTTCTGCTTTCATATTCATATGAAGCAAAGAAATATTTGTTTACTTATCAGTTCTCGCCATACGGTTTTTAGTGGACCCGAACGGATATAGTAACGCACGGACGTCCGCGTTCGTGCTTGCTCAAATTGTAGATATCGAACTTAATTCATAGTTTTTGGCATTTTGGTATTAATAGACGAAGACCATAAACTACATCCATATAATTAAATTTAGAAAGAATTGACAGACAGACACACAGTCTGATTCGAATATCTGTAATCAGAAAATTTCTAATTTGATACAGGACTTGGACCAGGAATCAATTTTTAGCAGTATTAAGTATGTGATTCTCGAAGCGCACTTTACGTAACTCGCAATTTATATTTCCACAAGCAGACATAAATTGCGAGTTTCAGTCACACGTTCAATTTGTTCCCCTTTTATGGTGACCTTTATGGAAACCGATGATTCGCAATGTTTTATATTTGTTTAGCCGTTCAAAGAATCATATTATACTTTGACCACATGAGTAAAGAAACCGTACCGTACAGAGGCAAAGCTTCATACAACCGCGCTGTACACTACTACAAGCTTGATGTGCGTGAGCACAGGCGGCTCGTCACGCACAGAGAGAAACTGCTTTGAACCGACTCGGCCCGTGCTCAAACTAAGGGTTGTGTAAAAAATAATGTGTCAAATTTTGTTTTATAAGTATAATTCGTATCAAATGAAACATAAAAAAGTGCAAATATGGTACCTACGTAGATTTAAAAGTAAGGAATAATCGATTGGGTTGATCAATATAGCAATTACTATTAAAGGCTTTAAATCACAAAATGTTGAGAATCTGGCTTCAACACAATTCAAGAAAAACACAAAAAAAATTATACGCACAAACGTCCAACATTGCTCAGCCTTATTTTTTCTAAAACCATCAGTTCTAAGGCAAAGCCTTAAAAATAAAGTAGAAATAAAGTAAGTTATGGTAAATTATGCAGTTGCCATTCTTCTTGATCTAAATGTCAAAAACTTTTTATTTTTTATTTCACTTGGGTGGGCAATGTTATACTACACAGCAGCTATATTTTCTTACAAACTAAAACGGTTGTTTAGGGTTGTCAAATAATGTGATAAATAATAATATCTCTTCATGTTATAAATTTTTGTATTAAAAATCAGTCAGGTACAATAGATATTTTTTATTTATTTATTTGGATTGCCAGCATAAGAAACAGCAATAAATGTTTGGTTACATAACAGTAATTTACATGATCCTGTTATAATTACAGGCAATCACAGCATGCGTTGTGCTACAAAAAGTTAAACAAATTTAATAAAATTATGTTAACTAAAAAATAAAATAAATAAAAGCTGATTTGTACAACCGCAGTTTAACATACGCCAACAAGCTTAAGTTTGGTCATAAATTGAGTGAGGATATCATAGTAAATATCAAGGTCGGGTATATTTTTGGTGAGCTTGTTGTACAGACGAGATATACGGATCACTCGGAAGTCACGACCCAAGTTTGTACTACAAAATTTGTTCTTAAAAAGACCGCACGGATATCTTGGTATTCTGGATGGTACGTTATATTGGAATTTGGACAATAAACGGACACAGTCTATGTGATTATTTACAATTGTATGTACGAGTGACATGTCTAAGTGATTTCGGCGTAAAGAAAGGGGCTCTAGTTGAAAACGCTTAATTTTTTCACTATAGGTTTTAATACTTCTTGGAGTACCAAAACTGTAGGTTAAGCTACGAATTTTTTAGGATATCATAGTAAATATCAAGGTCGGGTATATTTTTGGTGAGCTTGTTGTACAGACGAGATATACGGATCACTCGGGGAGTCACGACCCAAGTTTGTCCTACAAAATTTGTTCTTAATAAGACTGCACGGATATCTTGGTATTCTGGATGGTACGTCAAATTGGAATTTGGACAATAAAGGGACACAGTCTATGTGATTATTTACAATTGTATGTAGGAGTGACATGTCTAAGTGATTTCGGCGTAAAGAAAGAGGCTCTAGTTGATAATGCTTAATTTTTTCACTATAGGTTTTAATACTTCTTGGAGTACCAAAACTTTAGGTTAAGCTACGAATTTCTTTCTTCTGAACTTTTTCGATCGTGTCTATGTGTGTTTTATAAGTAGGGTACCATACTGTGCTGCAATACTCGAGCTTGCTCCTTGCAAAACTGTTGTATAGCTGAATGACAGTTGCTGTTTTTTTTAAAATCCCTTGAGTTTCTCAATATAAAGCCTAGCGACCTATTTGCTTCCCTCACTATCTTGTCAATATGGTCCGAAAATTTCCAATTGCTATCCATTATGACACCAAGATCTCGAATAGTAGTCACTTCTTCCAACTTGGTGCATGCTATTGTGTTTTTCGACTGAAATTTATTACGTTTTCTGCTGTACTTAATGTGACAGCAATTCGCAGCATTTAGGAACATTTTATTATTGTTACACCATTCCTGAAGATTATTAATATCTTCCTGGAGATGTTGCGCATCTGAAGCTATTGATACTGTTTTCGTGATTTTAAGGTCGTCAGCAAAAATATATACTCGTACATGGCTGTGGTTAATCACACGTGTTAAGTCATTAACAAAGATGTTAAAGAATAACGGTCCTAAAATCGAGCCTTGGGGTACTCCTGAAAATGCTTCAAATAGCCTCGATTGTTCGCCATCAATTACCACCCTGGAAAAGCGATTTGAAAGGTAAGATTTACACCATTCCAGTAGGTTATCTGTAATCCCAAATAAATATAATTTATGAATCAGGATGCTGTGGTTTACTTTGTCAAAGGCTTTTGAAAAATCTGTATAGATGGCGTCAACTTGTAAGCCTTGATCCACTTTTTGTTTAATACCAGAAGTGAAGAGAATAAGGGTAGTGTTGGTCGACCTTCTTGACATAAAACCATGCCGATTTTCGATTATGTATATTTGAGTATGCCAATAAATTACAGAGTAAACTAATGACTCAAATACTTTCGATACTGCTGACAAGATAGATATTGGACGGTAGTTAACTACTAAGTCTTTTGTTCCATTCTTAAATATAGGTACTACTCTAGCTAGTTTCCATTCACCAGGAAATATGCCCATTTTGAGAGATCGATTGTATAGTCAACGCATCTGCACAGTTTATTAAAAGTAGTGGATGTATATTATCTGGGCCTACCCCCTTTGTGACATCCAGCTTTTTCAGTTTATTTTTTACATCCTCTGGTCTAAATTGAATTTCCCCGATAACATCAAAAGAATTAGCAATGAATCCTGTGCAAATATTATTCCAATTGTTGTCGTTAAGATCTCTTTCATATATTGCAGAAAAATGAGATGCAAACATGTCCGCTATTAGCTTTGTATTTGATGATGTATCACGCTTAAAGGTCATTGTATTAGGATATGATGAGCAGTTCTTTTGTAGATTTTTTGTGTGTCCAAAACTGTTTGGGGTTGGTTTTAGTATCTGTTTTAGTTTGAGGTCCCTTTACAGCCGCACAACTTGTACATTTGCGGCATCAGTCCTCGATATCGTCACGACAGTGGACCCAGTAAAACCGTTCTTGGATCTTCAGTAGAGTTCGTTTAACTCCCAGGTGGCCTCCTGAACAACCATTATGGTACAGCTGTAGAACATCCGGTACTTTAGCCTTAGGGACAACCATTTGCAAATGACAACTGTCTCCCCGACCATTTTCCCATTTACGGCACAGGACTCCATCCTGAATCAGCAAGATGTCCCATTGGGCCCAATAGCTTTTCGTGGTCGAACTCATCGCTGAGACGTCGCTCCACTTGCGCTTAGGAGCACTGGCTTTCATCCATTCCAGAATCGGCTCAATGTCCGAATCTTCCTGCTGTGCATGTTGTAGGCTGTCCTTCCACTCATTGCTGAGCTGGTCTGTCCTGAGCATCCTCACAGATACCACTTCCTTACCCTCTTGCCTAGTACAATGCTTGCAATCTTCAGGGCAAGGTCTTCTTGACAATGCATCTGCATTGCCATGAGATTTCTCGCTGCGATGTTCGACCACAAAGTCGTATTCCTGTAGTAGTTCAATCCATCTCGTAACTTGTCCTTCTGGATTTTTGAACTGCAATAGCCATTTTAGTGCAGTATGGTCAGTTCGTAAGTGAAATTTCTGCTCCAGAATATATTTGCTAAAATGGTCCAAGGACTTTACCACAGCAAGCAATTCCCATCTTGTGACACAATAGTTCCTTTCCGGCTTTGACAACGATTTGCTGAAGTACGCTATCACAACCTCTTGATCACCGTTCCGTTGAGACAACCACCGCCAAGTCCTATATCACTTGCGTCTGTGTAAACTATAAATTCCTTGCCCGCATCAGGGTACCGCAAAATAGATGTTTTGCACTGACGGATTTGAGCTCCTAGAATGCGATATCGCAACTTTCATCCCAGCAGAAATGTCGCTTCTCCTCGGTTAGCTTATGCAGAGGTTTGGCTATATCTGTGTTCTTCACAAATCGCCGATATTAGGAGCACAAACCCAAAAATGCTCTAACCTGTGTCTTGTCTTTTAGAATCGGCCAGTCCTTGACAGCGGCAGTTTTCTCTGGATCCGTGCGGATACCTTCTTCCAACACTCTGGATTGGCACTCTTGATCTTCATGAGCACGCTTTCCAGCTTTTGAAGGTGTTCCTCAAACGTACGACCTCCGATGATGATGTCATCCAAGTAGACCAGACAGGCATCGCCAATTAGCCCGGTAAGTACAAGCCCCATCAACCTTTCAAACGTTGCTGGTGCATTGCACAATCCAAACGGCATGACTTTAAATTACCACAGACCCCTTCCTGTGGATAATGCAGTTTTCTCCTTGTCCTTAGGGTCAATTTCAACCTGCCAGTAGCCACTTTTCAGGTCCAGCGTACTAAACCACTTTGCGCCTGTAAGCATGTCCAACGTGTCATCAATTCTTGGCAAGGGATTGCTGTCCTTCTTCGTAACGTCGTTCAGACGGCGGTAGTCAACACAAAACCGCATGCTGCCGTCCTTCTTCTTTACCAGCACCACAGGTGAACACCATGGACTAGATGAAGGTTCAATAACAGCATCCTTCACCATCCCCTCAATCATGGTCTTCCATTTCCTTTTCACTTGCTACAGGCAATCTTCTTGACCGCTGACGGATAGGCAATTCTACTCCTGTGTTTATTTTGTGTTGAACTAAGCCAGTCTTCCTATGTCAGCATCGTTTGACGAGAAAACATCGGGCGTACTTGAGTAACAACTTCTTCGCCTTGACCATTTCATTCGGCGAGAGAACGCTGCGATAGTCTTCTAAAAGTGTAGTCACTCTCGTTTGTTCATCCTTGCTGGGGGTCCCAGTCGATAGATATTGCACCGACGCAACTAATCCACTTCCTCTCTAGTACCAACCAATGTGCTTTTTTCTATAATCTGTTCCTGATCACAAAGATTCAGCACACGTACTCCTGAGATGTCGGCGGTTCTACCAAGGTTCGAGCCACTTTCCATGGAAGGTCATTGTCTACCCTTTCCACGAGTTCACAACGAAGAGTTTGCCCAGGATTCCGAGGAAGTCTAACCGGCACTATATATGCCTCAAATAGTTTCCAGAACCTTCTACTGTAGAAACATCTAGAATATTCGAGTTCATATCGGTCCCGAAATTTCTAGAAGGATCTTGACCCTCCTAGTTCTGCTACTCGATACTAGAGAGGCGCTAGTGGTAACTAGTGTTGCCATGTACAAGTGTACGTTTGTGTGTTAGGAGATGTGTGTAATTAAGATGTATTATTTAAGGTTTTTGATCCGAAAATATGTTCTATCTTGTCAAAATC